TATTTATTTGACAGAGAGAGACACAGTGAGAGAGGGAACACAAGCAAGGGGGGAGTGGGAGAGGGAGAAGCAGGCTTCCCGCTGAGCAGGGAGCCTGATGTGGGGCTCGATCCCAGGACCCCGAGATCATGACCTGAGCTGAAGGCAGATATTTAACTGACGGAGCCACCTAGGCGCCCCTAGGTTGTGATTTTAAATAGGGAGTTCAGGGAGACCCATTTTGGGGAAAGACTTAAAGGAGCTGAGGCATAAATCATGGGAATGTCTGAGGGGGGTATCAACAGTGCCAATGCTCTAGTGTGGAAGTGGGCCAGGAATATTCCAAGAGCAGAAGGAGGAATGAGTAAGGGGAGAGGAACAGGAAGACAGGGTGGGGGCTGTAATGGGAGGAGGGGCAGACTCTATGGGCCATTGTAAGGGTTTGGGGCTTTCCTGTAAGTGTGGCAGGAACCATTGGACTGTTTGGGTCAGAGGTGGGAGATGGTCTGATTGAAGATTTGAAGGGTGCACTTGGTTGCTGCATTAGTAGGAGGGCAAGGTCAGAAGTAGGGGGTTGACCGTGAGGCCACTGCAGTAAGTGGGTAATAGCTGATGGTGAGAACTGCTTGTTGCTATTCCCTGAGCTGTCCCCAGTTCCTCACTACAAGGCTCAGCATCAGGAACAATTCTTGCCCAGCCTTGAGGATAGGTCCAAACCTATCACAGTTTTATTAAGCATCTGCTTTGTGAAGGCGGGAGCTGATTGCCCCAAGGTCTTCGTGGAGCTATCTTTGATCAGCGGAGTGTAGCCTTGCTCAGACCAGATGCTCTTAGATCGTCCTCACAGACTCTATGTTCACAGTTTAATGTTCCCTTGCCATAGTTGTTTCTTCATACGCTTTCATGTTCAGCCCCCAGTGGAGCCCCTCAGCAGCTGAGCAACTGAGTTCTGACGGGCAAGAACAGATGAGATGGCGACATCCTGACACAACTTACTTCATTCTTCTATCAAAACAACTTTACTCCTGGGGCGCCTAGGTGGCTCAGTCAGTTGAGCATCTGCCTTCGGCAGGTCATGATCTCAGGGTCCTGGGATCGAGCCCCGCATCGGGCTCCCTGCTCAGTGGGGAGTCGGCTTCTCCCTCTCCCTCTGCCCCCACCACCACTTGTGCTCTCTCTATCTCTCTCACTCTTTCTCTCTCAAATAAATAAAATCAGGAAGAAGTAAAACATTCACTATTTGCAGATGAC